TCCCTAAAAGGTAGGCATTAAACAAATCTGTCACATGCCTCTTTTTCTCCTGGCTTTTACAATTTTTTATTTTATTTTTAAATCAAATTTATGGGGTGATATTGGTTTCTCCTGACATTTTAAAGAAAGTGATTTCATGCAAGTTTAGGCAGCAAAGGACACAGACTCTAGAGCAACAGTGATTTTAGAAGTTGGGACATGCTGCCTTTGCAAATGAAAAACCATAAAGGTCAGAACTGTGTGAAGTTTCTCCAAAGGAATGCTCATTGTCCTACATGACCAAAGACATTGTGTTTATAAATTCACCTCAGTAAAATTACATCCATAGCACTGAAAACCAACCCTGGAGCCAAACTGAGACAGGAGGGAATAAGCAAAGGTTTCTGCGTTTCTCTGAGAAAGTACCAGGACAACAAAGGACTGCAAGAGACTGCGTTAGCCCATTAGTCCTCAGGAGGGTGACACCGGTCTCATTCCCAACGAGTCATTATACTGATTCTCCAAGAGACGGATGCAAAAATCGGCTTATCTCCCTGACCTCCAAATCAGGGAATGCCAAAGACAAAACTGGGAAGCCCTAAAGATAGAGATGTGGGAGGCAGTGTTGTGCAGTGGTTAGGAACACTCTGCAGCCTTTACATTTGCTGTTGCTACCTAAGGATATTTTTCTTTCTAAATTTATTTTCTTTATTGATTTTTAGAGAGAAAGGATGGGAGAGGGAGAGAGAGATAGAAACATCGATGAGAGAGAACATCGACTGGCCACCTCCTACATGCCCCCCACTGGGGATTGGGCCCACAACCTGGGTATGTGCCCTGATCTGGAATCAAACCTGTGACCTCTTGGTGCATGGGTCGATGCTCAACCACTGAGCCACACCAGCCGGGCAGAAAATTTTTCTTAAACCCCTCTGCCCCGCAGTTTACTCATCTGTAAAATGAGGGTCATTATAGTATTTGCTCATTTGGATAAAATGAGATTTGGATTAATGAGATGCTTGACACAGTCAATGAATGCTAGCCAGGATCATGACAGTGATGGTGGTGGATGTGGTGATATCATGTACCTCATTTTTTGTGTCCCTCTCTCAGAGGACAGAGAGTCACGGTGGAACTGCTATTGTGTCTGGAAACCCGTCAGGCTTGAACAACCGAGAAAGGAAAGGCGTTTCTGTGACTGAATTTATTATTTTGGTTCCTAGAACACTGCTTTGAAATTTCATTTATAGCTTATTTAAAATTTTTAAAAGTCTACGCTGATCCACTTAAGTAGAAATGAGAAGTCTAGGGAGAATCTGAATTTGGCTCCACAGAAATTTTAAAGGTAACAAACTGGAGAACCAAGATCCACGAGAATGAACAATAATGATTTTTAAGAACATAAAATGTAGCCTTTAAAATATTTTCCTTTCAAGGCGATGTGAGCTTTAAAAGTAACTAGAGTATTATAAACTCGTGATTTAATCTATGATCCTCTTTGGAAAGAATGCAGTTCATGAAAAGATGACTTGGATTTTTATTTCAGGTTCGTTTCCCCAGTGAAAAAAGTACTTTGCTTCCAAAAATCCATTCACACTAGTTCAGAGTTTCCCAAAGGCAAGAAACATTCCTTCGATCCCACGTGAAACCAGAACATACCTCAGACTCAGTGGAAGCTTTTGTCTGACCTTTTCAGAAGCATGTAGGCGTGCTTCTCCGGTCACGTCATAGAGTTATTGGCATTTGGTAGAGGCCTTTCTTTTACCCCAAATATTAAAGAATTCAAACTGAGTTAACTTGTAAATTTTAGAAATCTGCTTTAGTTACATTTGGCTGTTGTTATTCTCTAGACCAGTGGTTCTCAACCTTCCTAATGCTGGACTCTCTAATCCAGTTCCTCCTGTTGTATGTGGGCGTATGTGTTTTCCGATGGTCTTAGGCGATCCCTGGGAAAGGGGCGGCGACCCACAGGTTGAGAACCTCCGCTCTAGACTGTTCAGTATCACGCCTTGTGTTGCGTATGCCCACTGAGCTCTCCTTCCTAAGAGCACACACAGTTGACACCTATTCTTGCCTTATAAGCTAATTTACCATGACATAGAAATGTTTTAGTAGAGGGAAAGGAAATGTCTGCACTTTATTGGAAATAAGTAATAGAAAAATCTGAGTCCCCTTGTGAACATTTCCTTAATGCAAAGTCCAGACCCGCAGAAAGGACCTATGGTGCTGTCCTTTCTGCTGGCTGGAACGTGACGCAGCCAGGCTGCCCAGCATGTGCCAGGGTCAGGGTCTCTTCTGGGACAAATACTGCAGTCGTGTCTGTAGTCCTGCCTTCTGCTGGGAACTTTCTTGGTATACCTCCAAGAAGAGAATCGTGGAACTGTAGAGCTAGAATTATTTTGGAGATGTTACTGATTTTTTAAAAAATGAAATCTAGAGAAAGGATGTTATTTATTCAAGCCCAACACCTAACAACTAGTGGGACTAGAGCCCTAGCTCATGGTTTCCGTTGTTTCTAAGCCCGACTGCTGCTTTGAAAGAATTCAGAATTTCACAGAAATTGTTAGCTTTATATTACTGTTATTAATAGAAATGGAACTATATATGCAGAAGATAAATATGCAGTGATTCAATCATTAAAATAATACTGTTTGCATAACATGAATTTGCTCTATAGAAGAGAAAATAACCACATTTACTAAAGTTTAAAATGTGTTTTTTTAAAAAAGTTTAATCATTGTGAAAACCGCTTTATTCTTGAATAAAAATATATCTGAGTGTGTTATTTGAGTATAGTTGGTATATATGTTAGTTATAATAGAGTCAGGTTTACAATATAGCATTTTTATTGTTTACAATTTGGCATTTTTATACCTTACAGTGTGATTACCTCACTAATTCTAATAATCACTCATTACCATGCAAACTTCTCATAGTGCTATTCACTATATTTCCCTTTACCTTCTTTTACCCTTCCCACTACCCCCTTCCTTCTGGTCTCTGTTTCTATGAGTTTGTTTTTGTTTTGTTTTATTTGTTCATTTGTTTTGTTTTTATAGATTCCACATATAAGTGAGACCATACAGTATTTGTCTTTCTCTGCCTTACTTATTTCACTCAGCATAGTACCCTCTAGATCCATCCATGTTGTCACAAATGACAAGATTTCATTTTTTACTGCTGCATAGTATTCCAGTTTGTGTATATATGTGTATATGTGTGTATAGCACATCTTCTTTATCCATTCATCTATCAATGGATTCCTAAGTTGTTTCCATACCTTGGCTATTGTAAATAATGCTGCAATGAACATAGGAGTGCCTATATTTTTTCAATTAGTGTTTTTGTTTTAAATAAATACCCGGAAGTAGAATTGCTGGGTTTTAAATGTGTTATTATTAATTACTCTACCAGCATTTTTGAAACTTCACTGTTAGCAGGCATGGTTCGAAGTATGAAGATAAAATAAAAAAACAGGTATAGCCCTTGTCCCAACTTGCCAGAAGACTGGAGAGGCATAAAAGAGAAAGGATGACACTCTGATTCTAGCAGCGGTGAGGGTGAGTGTAACACCTATGGCCACACGAATGAGCGGGGCTTAACTATGGAGTAAGAAGGAGAAGGCTCCCCAAACAGGCAACACCACAACTGTGTCTTGAAGGAAAGGGACTCCGGAAAAAGGCATCAAAAGGAGTAGAACAGCCTGTGCCAGACAGGTCGCTGTGACAGCAAGTGGCAGATTCAGGGAGTGGGTCTTCTACATGGCTGCATCCCAGGCTTCATTGAGGCCAAGGACCGGCAAGGATCAGACCATAATGAGCTCTGTGCATAATGCTCAAAAGTTTGTATTTTACCAGAAAATAATGGGAAAGTATTGATACAGTATATGTTCTAAAATAATATGACTCAAATCATACTATAAAGTGAATAGATGTTTTTTTCTGCTCCTTTCTATGAGATACCTTGGTAAAACATCTGAGAGTACATTGTGATCAAATGACCAGAATCGGATTCCAGTTGTGGAGTTGACAGAAACCTCAGTGTCCTCATCTGCAAAATGGAGACCAGCATAGGGTTGTTGTAAAAGTACACGACTTAAATCCTGTTAAGCGTCTGTGACAGTGTCCGGCATGTTATAGGCACCCGGTGACAGTAAGCCAGCATTGTCTTTATCGTGATCATCATCTTTATAAAAGGCTGAATTGGAGAAAATGGATGAGAATGCCGAGGGCTAATTTTAACATCTAAAGTTAAGAGTAATTTTCCAATTCTGCTGAAACTCTATTGCTTAGTAATAGAGTCCCTTCAGGAAGAACTCCTTTGTCAGAGGCATGGCTGGGAAAGGCACTGGTTAGCGGAACGCACTGAGCATGTTCTTGAGAGAAACTCTTCTGCTGATTCTGTTGTCCAAGAAAATGCAAGAAAAGGAACCGGAGTGTCATCTGTTGAGAGCGGTGTCTGAGAAGAATACACACTTGATTTGTTGGTTGAAGGGGGAAGAGGAAAATAGTAACGTCCATAGAGACAAATTGGAGATAAATTAACTCTGTGTGTGTGTTTTCCTCCTTTGTTGATTGGCAGGCTCTCAGATAGAGTGAGTATGCTTTCAGTTTGCTGTTAGATTGTAACTAGTTGTTTATAAAATATCCTTATACTGTAAGAACTGAAAGTTATTTCTTGCTGTATTTTTGTTATCAGGATATTTTCTGTAATGGTGCCAAATTGGAAATTTGAAATATGCAGCAGGTCCTCAAAACACGTTATTTCGTTCCATGTTGTTTCATTAAAACGTTGATGAGATGACCTAGGAACCTAACTCTTGCTTACATCGGTTGGCCTGTGGTAAAACTGGTTGCAGTTCCAGGAACCTGTCAGTGACATTGAGGATGTACTCTAGTTTAGTTATTCAAATTTGCTTGTATTAAAATCCAGCCACATAATGTCATCTCTCTAGAAGCAATGGACCGTGTTTCAACGTTCTGTGGAATAATACATTACTCTTTGTTGTTCTGTTTTGTTAGTGCTCCTACATCCCTCCCTGTAAGAGAGAAAATCAGAAGAACTTGGAAAGTGTCATGAATTGGCAACAGTACTGGAAAGATGAGATTGGTTCCCAGCCATTTACTTGCTATTTTAATCAATTTCAGAGGTAAGCCGATATTTACATGTACCTATTAAAAACGTGTGTAGCCTTTGTAGTTTTACACTATGTGGTATTCACAAATCATAGATTGTGCTCACTTGAAAAATATGTGACATGGGGATTGTCTCAATTCTTTCCATCACGTAGTTAGGGAAGCCCCCTCTTACTCTACAAGATGGGAGGCATGTAAAGACTCTTCAGGCAAAACATAAAACAGAGAGAGAGAAAACTTGTATCACACTAAGAAAGTGCCTTAGGTGGGATCACTGTGTCCTGGCAGTGTTCCCTGAGGGTTACAGAGTAACGTACACAGGGTGAACAGCGTTAGGGTGCAGGTTTGTCAGCATCTTGAACTGCATCAAATACTCTCCTTTTCCTTTCTATTCTGACAAATTACCAGTGAAATGAGTTCATACCGTTAAAACTGTATCTGACTTAGAGCTCTAGCTATGCCATGTAATAATGGTGCCTCGGACTAGAACACGGCAGTACCCACCCGGGTTAATCACGGTAATTTATCCACCAGTCATTTATTGAGTATTCACAACATCTTGTTGTACATCTCCACTTGGATGTTCTACTGTTATGTCAAACTTTCTTTTCCTCCAATGGTCATTCTTTTAGAGAAGGGCGCTATCGTCCACTTGTTAATCTAGTCCAGAAACCTTTGAGTGGTTCTTAATTCAGTTTTCTTTTTTATACGCTAGGACCTGTCTTATGTTGATTGTGCCTCTAGGACGTCTGTTCTTTGCCTTCCCTGTGCCATGGTCTTGGTTCAAATCCACATTATTTCTCAACTCCGTTAATGCAATAGTCTTTTTTTCTCTTTTTTATTAAATGTATTGGGGTGACACTGGTTAACAAAATTCTACAGGCTTCAGGTGCACAACTCCACAACACATCATCTGTATACTGAATTGTGTGTTCACCACCCCAAGTCAAGTCTTCTGTCACCATTTATCCTCTCTATACCCTCCTCCACCCCCTCCCCTTGTAAAGTCGTCTTCCAAAAAGTCCTTCCATCTCTACCCTGTCCCCACTACAAACCATTCTGCATGCTGCTGCCAAGGTGATCTTTCTAAAACCTGAGACTAATCAGGTTACTCCTCACAGTTTTGAGTAAAACCCAGATATCTTAGCATGGCCTGGGTATCAGGTACCTATTGCTGTGTAACAAACCACCCTAGATCTTGCAGCTTACTACAACAATGATGTTATTTATTTAAAAAAAAATATTTTTTGCCCTAGTCGGTTTGGCTCAGCAGTTGGAACGTCGACCTGCTGACCAGAGAGTCTCGGGTTTGGTTCCCGCTAGGGGCATATACAAAAAATACATACTTTTATTTTCTTGATTTTTTAAAGAGAGAGGAAGGAAGAGAGAGAGAGAAACATTGATGTGAAAGCACAACATCAATCAGTTGCCTCCTGCACGCCCCCCACCAGGGACCAAGTTCACAACCTGGGCATGTACCCTAACTGGAAATCAAACAGCAACCTTTCTGTGTATGGGGTGATGCCCAACCACCTGAGCCACACCAACCAGGGCGATTTTATTTATGATTTGGTGGGTTGACTGGGAGGTTCATTTGTTGGTCTCGCCTGGGCTCATGGGCAGCCAGATGATGCCTAGAATAGCGGCGTGGCCCATAAGGTCCTCTTCTCCCACATGCCCAGCACTTGGTGCTGGCTCGGGCGGCACACCTCAGTTCTTCCCCAGCCGGCCTCTCATTCTTAGTGGCTAGATCACCTTCCTTACAGTGTGGCAGCCTCGGGACAGCAGTTCAAGACCAGGCCTTTGCTCTGAAACTTGTATAACATTACTTCTGATGTTCTGTTCATAAAAGCAAATCATGATACAGCCCAGGTTCATGGGATGTGGAAATAGACTCTGCCTCTTTTTTTAAAAAATATTTTTATTGATTTTTTTTTTTTTAGAGAGAAAGGGTGGGAGAGAGATAGAAACATCAACATGAGAGAGAAACATCAATCAGCTGCCTCCTGCACGCCCCCTACTGGGGATCAAGCCCGCGACCCTGGCATGTGCCCTGCCTAGGATTCGAACCAGGACCTTTTAGTTCATGGGGTGATGCTCAGTCCTTTGAGTCACACCGGCCAGGCTAGACTCTGCCTCTTGATAGAGAACCTCCCAGTCAACCCACCAAATCATAAAGGTGTTATGTCTTTATTTAATCTATGATGGCATACAGACTGCCACCTCACCAGCCCTATCTCCATCCTCGTACTCTTTGCAATAGACTTTCTGAACTATGTGCAGTTCCCGGAATACCTTATTCTTTTATATTTATAACTTTTAATTTGCTTTTTCTGCTTCTTGACTGCCTTGCTGGAGACTCCTCAGATCCCACCTTCTCTGGGCTGCTCTGCTTGATTGCCAAGTTTGATTTAGTTCTTTATCAGTTAGGGTGCCGTCGGCTGCAGGGGAACCCAAAACCGCGGCTCGAAGCGCCATCAGCAATTGGGAAATTTATTATTTCATACGTCAAGAAATGTGTAAGTGGACTGACATTAGGTGTTCGATGCAGTGACTTGGCAGCAGCAAGAACCCTGTTCGTTCGTAGATCTCAGCTCTGCGCCAGGGTGCTCCCCGGTGACCGCAATGTGGAGTAGTGAGCCTGCTACAGACCGAACCACTGGGAAGAGAGAAGCATTGAACATAGGTAGTAACCAAAGCAAAAGTGAACACACCCTGGAGAAAATGAGACGGGATGAAACAAAAAGGTTAAGAAGTAGGGATTTTTTTCTGTGAGGCAGGAGCTGAGTAAGGGAGAGTAAACGCCAGCAGGCAGGAGAGTTGGCTGTTGAACCCGGGACTGTGAATTGGGTGAGCCCTGTGCTTCGGCCCCTGCCCAGGAACCGGTTTCAGACTGTGAGCCTCCTAAGGGCAGTTCTGACCAACCTGCACTCTCCACTCAGGTTCTGAGTCCCCCAAACAGGGGCGCCTCCTCAGAGGGCGTGACGTCAGAATATCCTCAGCACCCAAGCAAGGACTGTTCCTCGAGTGGGGAGAACTCGATGAAAACAGCCAGCCCTGCATTCTAGGCCAACTCTGTTAACTTCAGTGGCAGTCAAGTTAAGCCCATCGTACCTCCCCCAGATGGATGCTCATTCCCCATCCATCATCTCCCCGTCTCATCCCCGCACTGTTGGGGTGTAGATAGACGTGGGGGCGTCTGTCACAACCCAGCAGCACTCGAGACATGATTCTAAGTGACTCCGGGAAAACAGAAGGTTGGAGTTTGGCTTTTTCACCGTGACATATGCCAGAGGAAACGAGAGAGCTGGTTGGCGGTGGGGAAGTGGCAGCTCCTGGTGCCGTCTTCTCCTACCACCCTTCTTACTACTGCTGACTGCGGGGTAAAAACAGACTCCCTGTAGGCTCCCAGATGCTCTCGGCAAGATGAACTTTGTCTTTCAGGTAACCTTTAGGCTTCACGCACATGCAGGAAATTAGGGAGAATGGTTATCAGGAAGTTTCTGTTTTCAAGAAAAGGGTGTTATTTTTTAAATTGAAGACAGATGATTGGAGTCTTCGCTTTCCACTGTGTAAGCCTCATTGAGGAGAGCGGTTGTCAGGAGTAGAATCTGCAGTGGCTAGAGCAGCCACCAACGCCATGCCTGTCCCCCTGTGGTCACCCCGCCCCTGCACCCAGGAAGGATGCCAAGGGCTTGGTGGAGCCTGGCACCGGCTGCCTCCATTCCTTCTCAGACAACCTTTCAGCTCTTTGCCTCCTTCAATCTTGGGCCCAAAATCTCCTTCCAATGTGTAGACTTTTGTTTTGCACATTTTCACATAGGTGAGGCCACGCCTACCCTCCAATACCATTTTTGGTCTCTTACCCTTTCCCAGGCTTTTCTCAGCAAGACCTGAATTATGCCCCTGTACCAAGTATGTTTTGAAATCTTCATTCCAGTGCTAGGAAACTTCTCTGTAGTCTGTCTTCTCATCCAGTTCCTCTTGAAGGGGAGATGTCCGTGGGAAATGCTTGCTCACTCCTCAATTCCTTTTGGATCTGAAGGCCAGAGGAGCAATCAGTCTTTTTTTTTTTTTCTTTTAATTTCCCCTCTAATGGAGAGTATAGTATTTTTCTATACAGATTTACTGATTAATGCTTTATTTTATCCTGAGTGCACAGAGCAGGCTTACACACACACACACACACACACACGCACGCACACACTCGTCCAATGAACAAACCCAGGCGCACCCCTGGTTTCTTGAATTCATCTGCTGGGTTCAGGCCCTCACTGTTTCTCATCCAGGTTGCTGACATGACCTTCAACTGGTCTTTCACCTTTGGCCTTTCTCGTTTATCATCCGCACTGTACTAGGTTTTGTTTCGCTTTATCTAAACCTCTATTCGATCTCGACACAATCCTGATTAAGTTTTCTGCCATCTTGCTGTCTGTAGGACAAAGGGCATGCCCTTCTGATTCCAGCTTCAACTTCTGCTATTCCATTATGTGCCAGTCACAGGGAAACAAACAAACAAAAACAAAACAGGGGAAAACAAAACAATCAGCCACGGGCCCTGCCCTAATGGAGCCTGTAGTCTATCATCACACCATTAGAAAATTACAAAGTAGGGTAAATGCTATGGAGGAAAAGCTGAGGGTTCTACTATGAGATATTCTAACATGGTGGAGAATTTCAGAGGCCTGTCTGAATAAATTATAATCAGGTGGAGACCAGAGGATGTCAAGAGTTAGCTAGGTAAGAAGGTGAGGGGAAGACTGTTTCAGAAGGAGGCGACACCAGGCACAAAGGTTCTGAGCTTGGGGTTTAGGAACTGAAGGGCCTGCGGCAGGGGAGCTGTGAGCAGGACCGTGGTGAGTGCCCCCTGGAGGAAGAGTGGGCAGGGCTTTGACTTCACTTAAACGCAGTAAGCAGCCGGTGATGGGTTTTAAGTAGAGGGGTGGTGACACCTGATTTCATTGTTTAAACGTTTACTCTGCTGTTCCAGTCACCTCAGATTACTCAGTTTCTC